CCTCCAGGGCAGTGGTTCTCAAGCTTTTTTTTTTGCTGACCACTTGAAAATTGCTGAGGGTCTCGGAGGACCATTTAATCTCCATAGTCAGAAAAAATAAATCAAGTGCAGGGCCAAGTACAGATATTCTTGATTGTTTCACAGCCTTTCTGTAGACCACCTGAATGGAGCTCATGAACCAGTGGTGGTTCGCGGACCACAGTTTGAGAACCTCTGCTCTAGGGTACAGTTTCATCCAGCAACACATTGTATTGAGAGTTTTATCTGAGCAAGAAACCTGAATGATTTAGCTTAGAAATGCTGAATGTCTAGCCCATGGGCCAAATATGGCCCACAGAGACATGGCACCTGGCTTGTGGGGCTCTCCAAGGTTCAGGACAATTGGCACCAGGGGAGCAGTGGCCATTAATATGGCCACCTTCCCAGCTGCCAAATTCCCAAACCTCAAGCCCTGCACAGTCATCAGAGCTGGGCTGTAACCCAATTCCCCTGTGGGGCCAGGCCACATTTCATTCCCCCTGCCTTCCTGTTGGGCCAGTTGGAGCTAGGCCATGATCTTTTGCCCTCCTACCTCTCCTCCCACTACAGGGATAAGTCATGCCTCCTTCCCCCTGCAGGGCTGGGCAATGTCTCCTCCCCCCACATCTGTACTGGGCCAAGCCACACCCCTTTCCCCCCACAGGGCTGGGTTGGAGCTGGGCCATGCCCCCTTCTCCCCCTCTGTGGGGCTAGGCCACCCTCCCTGCCCACCTATGGGGCTGGGTTGGGGTCAGGCTGCCCTCTTCCATAGAGGCAGATGGTGCCTGCCACATCTGCCCCAGGGACAGGATCAGGACCACCAACCCAGATCCGGCCCGTAGACAGATCAGGCACTACTCTAGCCTTCTGAAGCAAAATGTTGAACAGCACTTGTCTAGCTGGGATTGAAAATTGCCAGACAAAAATATGTACAGGACGGGGCTTTACAATATTGTAGGCTGGATTCTAAACAACACTGAATAATTCCCTCCTTTCTGCAAAAGATCATCAGTCATTAAAGTGGCCTTACCATCCTTAGGCAATGAATAACAAAATGACTTTTCTTTTAAGACTCAACCCCTCTCCCCATTATAGGTTGATACTGTACCCCCTGTACTTTCTCTGCACTTCTTTTCCATTCCCTTCATTTCCTTTCCCTTCATTAGTAGTTAACTAGATATATCATTCAGTGGCTTCCCAAAAACTGAAACAGTGGAAAATGCCTCCATGGGAAGGAAAGTTGTCCATGATGAGATTATGGTGTGATTATCACATTCTGACATGCAGCTGATGAATTAGTTGTAGAATTTTCAGACAGCACAAAAATACAGAAAATTTGTGATATCGTATCTGAGACTGGGGAGAAAACAGGGGAACACAGACTCTTCCAGACTGAAGGCAAAACTTGAAGGTTTTTTGTGAGGTATTTTCTTTGAGTCTAGTTTCCTAAATACAGTAAAGTTCGGGAGTTGTTTCAAAAAGGAACATAATTAGCTAGCTTTGGAGCACAATCTTTCCCCTGGTCCTTTCTCCTAGAATACGTGGTGATTACTTTTGGACAGACTGCAGACGGCATTATATTCTGCATGTTATATGAAAAGGATTGTGGTAAAGTTTTAGAATTTATGGCTGTGTCTACATGTACTTTTACGCATGCCTAAACTTAATGTATATTTGCCTAATATGCATTAAGGCATTTTAGGGGTACATGTACATGCGTGTGCGCTAAGGCACATTAATGCGGTGTGCAGACCAACTTGGGACTAAAGTTAGCCCCAAGTCAGTTGACTTACACAGCATTAATGTGCCTTAGAGTGTCCATATGTGTGTTAAGGCATTTTAGCTATTCATGCCTAAATTTGATACATGCTTTACAGGTATCAAATTTAGGCACAAAAAGCTAAAAATCATCATTTTTAAGGAGCATTAAGTGTGCACATGTGTAGACCTGTGCATTTAATGTGCCTTAAAAATGGCTAATGCATCTTAAATCAGCACATGTAGACACACCCTTTGAAAAATGTCTTGTTAGTGCTGTGCAGACATGATGAATACTAGTATGAGAACAAGGAAATGAAAGAAAACTCCACTTTGGTTTATTTTCCCTTAGCATCATAAAGTGTGGTGTGGTGAGGAAAAAGAATTAAATAATAGTACAACAGAGTTAATTGTTCAGAATGTCTGAAAAATAGAAAGTATGTATTTTAGAAAGAGCATATAGTTTTTCCAATGTCCACACCTCCTCTCACAAAAGATTTCATTGCCTCTGCTTCTCTTTGATGCTATTTGTAGAGATCTCAGGACCTGACCTGGTTTCAACGAGCATGTTTTGCTTCCTCTTTCCTGATAAAGGTATGAAGCAGAAAAATACCAAAGGGAAGGAGTGCAATTTGACGTTGAAAACTTGCGTAAGGAACTTGACAACCTGACCATTGTTACAACAGATCTGGAAATGGAAATTGAAGGTTTGAGGGAAGAGCACATACTCAGGAAGAAAGACCACGAGGCGGTAGGAAATGTTCTAGCCCTTAACGCATCCTGTAATACAATTCTTTTGCTGATAGGTGGTAAAAAGTGGTTTATACATGGGGTAGATAATTCTGGGTTTGTTATGTTCAAAGAGAGCTAGATCATACCCACAGTTTGCATTTACACATGATCTAGTAGATTGGAGTTCTCTAACTCTAATTTCAAGTAAGACAGCCACTCAATTTTGGCCTAAGAAAAGTTCACTTTTACATCATTTGTAAAATAAAATAGTAATACTTCCCTATTTTACTGGAATGTTCTAAAAAATAATTATATATATACTGACTGCAGATGTACAGTAGCTGCAGATAAAACCAGTAACCAATAAGCATTATCTTTAGCTGCTCCATTAGTTCTTATAATCAACAGAATAGATAAAAATAACATGAAGAAATTATCCAGATAATATAGAGTGCCTAGACATGACCAGCGACACTGCTCAGACACACTGTAATTACAGCACATTGGAGCAAACTCAATTAATTGAGTCTGCTGGAGCATGGTAATTACCGCGCTCCAGCAGACTCCAGCATCTCAATCAGCATCCCCATGCTGAAAAATGTAAGCAGGGGTGCTTTGACTAAAGCTCATTTGATGAACTTCAGTTAAAGCATCCCTGCTGCTATGGGGATCCCTGCAGCATGGGAATCCTGATACACGAGACACTCCAGGTGCTTTAATTAGAGCAGTTCTCTAATTAAAGAGCCCCTCCCCTACCCCCTGAGTACATGTATAAATGCCCATAGTGTTTCCTAAGGTATGAAATTATCACTATTGTTAGTTTCAATCTCATATTAACCCTTACACCCTGCAGTTGAGGATTATTTTGTGATTGTTGGGTTTTTCTGCACCCATAACTCAAAACAAATATTTGTTAAGGGACTCAGGGATGATGAACTCTGGAGAGGTCAAAATTAAAATAAATTGGTTTATGAACCTCTGCAACGTGAAACAATGTATTTTTCCAAAGATCTCAATGCAATTAGTGAGATCAGAACCCTTTGGAATTAAAATTGACCATTCTTAATTCTCACATTGTTCTAATGCTGTTGTCCCCACACTGTTGTGCCAGTACTTGAACGTGTCTTTTTCATTCAGAAACTCTCAGTCATTACCCACTGAAGTTCTTAAACACCACGGCTAAGTACAGGCAGTCAAAAACCCTGAGGCTGAATGGATAGTCTTCATGGGTTAGTTTAAACTGCATAGATTGAACTGATAAGCAAGTGACAGACATTCAGATTTGTTCTGGAAATGCAGCCATATGCCTGCAATGTCTTAGGTCAGAAGTGGGGGATGCTAAAGCATGCCTCCCTGGTTGGCAGGAGCAGGCAGCTTGAGCCAAGCTTAGCCTGCCCACCCTGCAAGAAGGGATTTGCAGGGGAGGTGTAAAGCATCCTGGGATGCTGTGGGATTGTGAATCAACTTGAATCTGGGAAGTAATTGGGACAGAAGTTCAGTAAACTGGTTTAACTTAAATCAGTTAAGTCTGATACTGCATCCACCCAGGTTTATCTTAAACTGGTTTCTGCCATTTTGAAAGTAGCTTATGTGCACTGAACTTCTGTTGTGTTACAGATTTTAGCTGGTTTCTGATCACTTATACTGGTTTATGTGTAACTTCTGTCCCTAGCCCATGAGTAATGCTCAGGGGTGGATCCAGGGCACTAAGGGGAGTACAGTTGCACTCTCTTATGGTTGTGCAATGCATGCACAGTGAGCATAGCTTGCTGTTGTGGGCTTCTGCTGGATCCACCACTTTGTCTTGGCTCTGGAGCCCAGGAGGTGAATAATGCCACTGCTTGTCCTCCCACTTTCCCTTGTTGTTGAATTCAGCAGGGGGTAAAGGGAGGGGGAAAAAAGCACCCCCTGGGCTCCAGAGTCACACCAAAGCAGTGACTCTAGCAGGAACCCATGCCAATATGCGGGTGAGCTCAGGGAGCTCACTGTGAAACTGTCACATAGCTGAAGAAGGTGTGACCACACACATTACTGCCCTTCTGGATCCACCCATAGTGGAATTCTTTTCATTCCTGGTCATGTAAGTGGCTATTTTTTGGTTTGGCGCTTACAGACAGGTATGAATTTTATTCTTGGATGCAGAGACCTGTGCACATAGATGACTCCATGTGCAATAGTCCATGCACTGGCCATGTGCATACCCAGACACATGCATGCACTCCTTGTTGATACATCATGGCATCCACCATCTGAAACTTGTGACTAGCAGTTGTTAGATTCATGAGGAGGACCCTTCTGTGTTTTAGTCCCCATCACCAGGCAGCTAGGGAATCGGGGCTCCCTGTCCAGGGAATTAGGGCTCTCATAGAACCTGGGACCTGGGGCTCCCTGTCCAGAGGTGGTTTGAATTCTGTCTCCTTGAGTTTCCACTACAGCAATTTAACCACCATGCCACAGGTCGAGCATTCTCCAAGCTCTACTCTGGTTCTCCTTTTAAAGCTGGTCCCCTGGGCCTGTATATCCTGCTTCCCTGAAAAATGCTCTAACCACCAATCCATTATCCCGATCGGCATTATCCCGATCTTTCTCCAGATTTCCCTTTGAAACGGGCTCACTGCGCAGCCCAAAGAAGTGCATACGTGGAGTCAGGAGGAAGGGAGGAAGCCAGAGGGCATGCTTTTCAATGAGGTGATCACGGTTTAGAAAGAAAGGGGGCCTGCCTTCCAACCTGGGCCCTCTCCTCCTAATGAGGTTGAGCTGCAATCAATATTAAATGCAAGGTGTAGGGGACAACTTAGACAGGGGCCTGGGCACTAGGCTATTGGGCTAAAAGACAGGAATGTCACCGTCCTCCCATAGTCCTCTAGCATCTAAGACCAGCAAGTTATGATTTTTCTCTAAATAAAAGTTCACATACACATGTGGCAATCCTATTTTACCAAGCAGCTTCCCAGCCAGAAAGCAGTAACTGAGCATGATTAGGGGCCCCACATAGGCTTGAACATGCAGAGCTGAATTGCAAACTATACGTAAGTGCCACAAACTGCAGGTCTGTGGCTGCATATACACCATTTAGGTATATATGTGTATATCAGTAAAAATAAATAGGATTCATCCCCAAGTATCTTACTTTGTGATTATATTGTGCTATAAAGTAGAACAGAAATCCAAAGACTAGACAAGTGAGACTTCCCTTAGCTGGTTTCCTTGCATACCTAGAAATAGTAATGAATAACTAAGGTATAACAAATCTAGGAAGCTGGACACACCAAAATGACTTGACAGTGTCAAATCAGTCTGCATTTTGGAGGCTGTAGTGTCATGTCCTGGAGTGCTGCTTTTTCTGGGTGCTTTTGAAGTGGCATCAGTGTGTGCTACACTGGAAGGAATGTTATCACACCTGCTTGACTTGTTCTATAATCATCTTGTTTACACAGTAGTTATATATTTTAATCTAATTGTTCCTTTAGCAATTACATAGAACTTTTTTAGCAACCTCACCTAAACTTATTATTTCATAAATACTAACATCTATCTACATGAAACTACATGAAATTACACCTGGACTTACATGATCCGGCCTGATATGAAGTTCCTTCAGATAACCATTGAAAGTTCCAGTGCTTGTTCTTGTGTCATGCTCCTAGAAACCTTTCAAAAACAGGCTCTGTCATCAGTTTTTGGTTGAATTCTCTGGCTTATTCCTACAGCAGGAGAAGGAACAGAAGCGGACCACTGGTTTGGCTATGTCATGCTATTACACGGTGTTTCTCCTTTCCAGCTTGAGCAAACACCCTTCAGCTCAAAAATTCATGGAAACATTTTAAATCAACTAATCAAAACATTGGTGAACTTTCCTAGGAGATTTTGAACTCTAGCTGTTTCAGATTTTGGATGAATAGATATGTTAATTCTTATTGTAGCCCTATTAGCTTATAAGCCTTTTAATCTAGTGGTTCTCGGCCTTTTCAGACTCAACGTAGCCCTCCTTAGACTCAAGGCACCCTTTAGACACAAGGCACCCCTCCATACCTTTTATGAATTGAGCAGCATCCCATTCCAAAAACTAACTTATTTATTACAGTGCTTACCTCCTTCCAGAGGGGCTGAGCAGTGGGATCAGGGGCACAGCCAGGTAAGGAAAAGCCAGAGCCTACACTTATTTGCTTATCTCCTCACCCCTGACTTATCTTCTCAAACCTTGGGGCACCCTTCAAAGGACCCTGCAGTGCCCCTGGTTGCCCTAACATTCTGGTTGAGAATCACTGGCTTAATCTCTTAAATGGCATAGGTCTGAAGAAAATGAAGAAGACCTGATTGGGTCTGGCATTCACACTGTTAAAAAACACAAGATTCCTTTTCAATAAAGGCCATCGAACTCTTTCTCATAAACATCCTAGTGGCTTGTCATATGTTTTGCAGATTAAATATTTATTGTACCATATACATATAAGAATACTACTCATTTTTCAGGAAATGAATGCCCCAACTATGGAATATTTCAGCTAGACTAAAAGTAACCTCCTTTCTAGCCAATACGAATTCCCTAATTATTTGAGAACTTCCATAATCGTCTAGGTTCTTATGTGTGCTCACTGTAGCTGGTTCCTTATGAAGTTGTATGCTAAAATAGTGTTTCAAAGTGGTGGGTCTGAAATTTAAAACGAATGATCAGATTAGTAAACATGTCAGTCTAGATGTGTGTTACCCTATAATTATTAATAAATAATTACTGCAGGCAGTGCACCTGCCTGGCTGAACTCAGGGATGGAGTTAACATACAGGCCAGTACCAACAATTTAAGTGTCCACAGTGCATAGGCTGGGGAGTCTTTTTGCATGAAATGTAAAGTGTGCTGTAAAGTAATATTACTTGTCCCTTGAATGAAATTGCAAGGAGTCTTTTAAGATTGTCAGGACCAAGCAGCATAGGTGTGTATAATGATTAACTCATTAGAATGAAAAAAAATTAGTGCTACTTACTGGGCATGTCTACACACTCATTAATGCACCTTAGACACTGCACATTTAGTTTAGTATTTCTTTAATAAAGTACTAACTAAATGTGCAGTACCTAAAATTACTGAACAGTAGTGCTGGCACACAGTTATTTAGTAATGCTTACTGGTCATTAGCCTAATAATGCAGCGCAGTTGGCTATTAGCACGTTTTTTGCCATGACACGCTACTGCGCTATGTTGTCAAGCTAATGCACAGTAAGTGTCTCATGTAGACACGCCCACTGAGGATGGGAATGGATGGGATAAGATGGTAATGAGAATTTTTTCTCCCCCTTTTCATAAATACATCACAAATGCTTATTTCTTATCCTCTGCTAATCTGAGTAGGATATGCACGAACAACGTTCAACCAAGGATGTCAATGTCAATGTGAAGGTGAAAGCAACACCACCAGAAGATTTGACCAAGATTCTAGCAGGGATAAGAGAGGATTATGAAGCCATTATTGAAAAGAACCGCCGAGGCCTTGATGTCTGGTACAAACAGCAGGTAACAGAGAGCTACACAAACTTCCTTCTGATAATTTTAACAGTCCGTCTATTTTTATAAAGAATATATCAGTATCAGTAAACTTTTCACTTGCTTTTGCTCCATAGACTTCAGCAGCATCCCTGGCAGTGACCAACAGCCCAGAACAACTACAGAACAATGACAAAGAGATCAAGAACCTGAAGCGCAATTTCCAGGCCCTGGAGATTGAGCTGCAGGCACAGTTAAGCAAGGTACCAGCGAAGAAAAGCAATGGCAGGTCATTTGTATTCAATAACTTCTTCAGCAACCTATGGCTTGGGCTAAATTTTGTTCTCATTTACACCCTTGCATCTCTGACTTCCATGAAGTTATAGGACCATAAGTGCATTACATATATTTCAAAGTGCAGTGTGTGTTCTGGATTTCCTTTGCAGAGGTTAATAAGAAGAAATAATGTGACCTTTAAAGAGCCTATTAACACTATACCCAGAAAGAAAAAGCATTTCTAAGATATGACTTGAACTATATTTATGTTTACTCAGTCTTTGTGAGGAGGAGTTTCAAGCTGATTATGATTAATACCTGAGAAAGGCATGATCAATGACCATTTCAAAGCAGTTTCATGCTAGCATAACTCCATTTGAAAACAAAGGAGTTGCCCTGTTGTAAAACTGGATGAGCAGAGCAGTGAATCAGGCCAGAAACATGCTGTTACTACATAGCTATAAATAATAATTCTTGTGAGGATTAGTTATAATTCTGGATATCATCACAAGTTCATTCCTATGTTTCATTAAAGAAAGACCCAGTAAGAAGAAACGAGCCTTTAGCAAGGGGAATAGGGATGGGTTGATTTATGCTCCATTTCTACAAACAACTATGTACATGCAACATTTTACTTGTGTGACCTATCCTGGATTCACAAAGATAGTCATGAGTGTGACTAAGGGTTTGACAGACTGGAACCCTGGGATCCGACACGTGTGCAGAGTCTGCTGGATCGTGAAAATTGACATGCTCCGGCAGCCTTCTGTGTCATGTGTATCAGCGTCGCCACGTGTCTCCACGCTGAAAAAATGGTGGCAGAGCACTTTGAAATAAAACACATTTGATGAACTTTAGTTCAAAGCACCCTGCCACCATTTTTTCAATACAGGGATGCCCAGGGATGCTGATACATGTGATGCATGGCTCACCGATTAGCGCAGCTCACTGATTAAAAGCACCAGGCACCATGACCTAGCATTTGTAAAAATTCCCATTATGTTTGCGAATTCTTCTGGTTACAAACCGTGTCTTTTGGCATTTTTGTGCAGCACCTGACACATTATGGCCACCTCAAAAATAACAACAAGAATGGTTTTATCTGCTCTTTCAGAAACATGCCCTGGAAAATACCTTGTCTGAGACCCGAGCTCACTATGCCTCTAGGCTGCAGAATATACAAGAGTTCATCTCCAAATGTGAGGAAGAACTGAGTGAGCTCCGTCATGATGTCAGGTGCCAAAGCAACAAGTACAAGGTTCTTCTTGGGATCAAAACCCGCCTGGAGAGAGAGATTTCCACTTACCAGCTGCTGTTGGAGGGAAGGACTGATGAGTAAGGCAAAGTCAGGCTGATCTGAGCAGAGTCGTCATGTTCATGTGATTTATGTATTTGTATTTACTCAAGTGTGAAATTGTGCAAGAGGAAGGATTTTTGCTGGTGATATCTTTTATTGGATCAACTGCATGTTTGGGATAAAGCTAAACAAGAATGCTTACCATGTATTTGATCCAACAAAAATCCTTGCCTCTTGCCATATTCTTAGACTGTCACAGTTGCAACATCACTCCAACACTACTAAAACTCATAATAAGAATCAGTCTTTTTATGTGTATAGACCATAATTAAAAGCATATGAGATACTAATTGATAAAAGGTCTTGGGCATGGAGACTCAATCCAAACAAGCTGGAAATTTCACTACAATGCATAGTTATTTGGACTAAATACTAGTTTGCTTTATATACCTAAGTACATATACACAACATGCAATTGCAGTTTCTGGCACTTCCATACAGTTTGAGATTACACATTGTGGCAAAATAGATTTGCCATACCTGCATACCTGCTGGAAGTAAAATGGAGAAGGCAGAAGGGCCCTCCCACCTTTTTCCAAATACGCTAGTGGTTAGGGCAGTTGCCTAGAAAGTAGGACACCTACATTCTCGTGCACCCTCACCCAGACAGAGCTGGAACATCTATCCTGCTTTCCAGAAGGTTGCTATAACAGACATTGCCTTGCCCCCTTTCCAGTCTGCTTCTTGAATTTAATCCTCTACTTGCTGCATTTAATATTTCTTAGATAAACAGCACAGGGAAAGTTCTTGCCCCATTGGAGACAGGGGCCTAGGATAGAATGTAGGTCCTCTCCTGCCAGGGCAGCATTCATCTCATTGAGGCACAAGCCTTCTGTTTTGGGCTCTTCCTTTGGCCTAGCTTCAAGAGCAGGGGCAGAGAAGGATTTCAGAAATACCTAGACCATGGCCTGGTGGTTAAAGCAATTTGCTAGCAAGCAGGAGATGCAGTTTCAAACTCCTGGGTGGGTGGAATCTAAAATCTGTGTCTCTTGCTCTTTGGGCAAGTGCCCTAGGCACTAGTCCATTAAGCTAAAAGGTAAGAGGGTTTCTTCACCTAAAATGGTTCTTTTGTGACTAAAACTTCAGGACTTACCTGGCCTTATACACATATATGAACGATAGTATTTCACCATGCTGCTGCTCAACTAAAGCACATCCCAATTGTGCATACTTAGCTAGCAGGCACACCTGGGCTTGCTCAGGAAGAGCTGAACTGCATACTTTGTGTAATCATACAAACAAAAATCAGTTCTGCAGCTGTGCGCACCATTTAGGAGCACAAGAGGAAATAGGATTTAGTCCTTTAGGTCTTTTCATCCCAGTTTATAGACCAAAAAAAAAAAAAAAGCAAAAAGCTTGAAGGACAATTTAGATAGGCTTTGGATAAAACATGAATCTCACCATGAAGTTTTGGCCCTTACTAATGGACTGTGTACTTTATCCATTTCTGATGCATATGAATCTCAGCATTTAGAAAACTCTGGGCCTCCCAGTCCTTTCTGCTACCAGGAAATACAGAATCTGTTATCAATACAATGAAACCAGGGACTTAATAAACCAGACAGGGGAAAGTTCTTTGTGTACTAATAGAGGAAAATCATAGGGAGACAGGACAAATATCAAACTTCTTAGCAGCACCCTGAAGGGTCCTAACTCTACCCATATAGAAAGCTCAAAGAAAAATATAACGTTTCTCATAAATAACCATAATGTGAACAAGACAGGGCTATTTGGGCAGAGGAAGAATTCAAAGAAAGAGTAACTAGACCCAAGAGTAGTGAAGAGTGAACCCCTTCATAGTAAAAAATTGGTTTTATTTTTGTCCTGTACATACTGGCACAGTGGTTACATTAACGTACCAAAACGTATCCATTCTTTTCTGCTCTCCTTCACAGGATAACAAGGAACTTTGAATCAAGTGCTAAAGGTAAAAGTTCCATACTGTATTTTCTTTTTTATAGTGACTGTTTCAATGCTCTTGGACATTCCTGTCACAATTACCTTAAATTCAGTGTATTCCTATGTGGGGGCCTATGCAAGGTTAATGAACCACTTAAGTCCCCACTTAAGCCATATTTTGCTATGAACAAAGTGATGTGTAGCCCATGTCCAAGAATTAATTTCATGCAGCATGTACCGGTCTGTTAACAGATTATAACCTATTTTTGGAACAGACTTCCCCAATCAGTGAAACATACTACCAAAGCTAAGCCTCAAACTAAGACCCTCAAGATCCATGAGCAGCAGCAGCAACTCCACAAAATCAGCTAGAACAGTGATTCTCAACCTTTTTAGACTCAAGGCACCTCTTAAATTCAAGGCAGCCCTTGGAAAATGCCAGTTCTTGGTTTTCACTCATTTTTTGACTACAGAAAAATAACGGAGCTATTTTCCTGTTATACAGGACTCAGAAAGGACACTGCAGGTTGGAATGGTTTTAACACTGTGAATTTCTGTTTGAAATGTCTGGGTTTATCTTGTGAATCGTGCACACTTGGCAGTGCTAACACTGTGCACCCTACAGCACCTTTGAATGGATCTCAAGGCATCCCAGGATGCCACAGCACCCTGGTTGAGAATCACTGAGCTAGAAGGTAGCTTCCCTTTGACTCAAAAGAAACATTTGGGAAAGTTTGCCCTAGTTGTCTTAGTGCAGATAGTTTTATTCAGGAGTAAGACTAGAGGCATTCAATGTCTTACCACAATTATGGATTAGCTAAATCCACTTTGAAACTGGATTTATTCTTGCTGAGAATTAGCAGTATATATTCATTAGCCCTGACTTAGCCTAACCCCAAAGTAACTTTCCAGAGTTAGTATAATTAATAAATAGCAAAATTAGCTATTGACTTCAAGGAAAATGTGGCATGTAATACCACTTGGGGATATGGCCCATAAACTGATACATTTCTTATTTCCATTCAGAACACACTGCATCAACTGACCACAGGCTGAAGACAATTGTGCAAGACAGTGTGGATGGACAGGTGGTGTCAACCACCATACATGAGATCCACCAGCAGGA